GTTATTATTATTTATTTAAATGTGTGTATTTGTATTATTATTAATATTATTATTTTATATTAAATTGTGTGTATTATAAATATATAAGAAAAATCCGGTTTATAATTTAATTGTCGAGCCAAACCGAATTGATATTACGTCTAGTCGGGCCCGAGAGCCGATTCTTTCCTCGAGCCTTCGTATGAACCGGCCGACCCGCGAAACCGAACCTTCCCAAACCCGGTTTTCCCCCATTGTGCACGTGTGTGTGTTATCTTGTGTAGCAAGATTAGTTAACCTGATCTATTTACTAGTCTTATTAATATCACTCAAAACCATAAGCAGATCAATCACCCCGCAGTCGTATTCTCTTATTTGTATCCCTCGCGCGATCGAACTCAGAGAATTCCCAAACTCTCATCTTGTCTCTCTCGTTGTTCACCATCATCAACCATCGCCCTCATCGTCATCCTCACTTCAGTCACCATCCTCGATCGCCATCCTCTCGACAATAGATCCGGTCATCACCTTCAACCCATCATCACGCCGCGAGCCTCCCGCCGACGAGTATCCACGTGAACCTGCGACTTTCGGCAACCAGTCGCAACCCCTCCGTGCAGCAATCAGGCCACGAGCGATCGCCGGTGAGCCATTCACCTCCGCGACGAGCCGCTGCAACTGCTCCTCCGACGCCCAGCCGCCCCGCGAAGATCTTTTTGGCAACCCCTATTCACGCGAGATCTTCCAGCGAGCCCAGCAACTCGACAAGCGCCTCCTCCGCGTCGGAACACCCCCAGCAGCGAGCTTAATCGCTGCACAGCGCCTCTGCTTCTGTCAAACCTCGAGCCGCCGTCCTCCCCTCGCGAACCGCACGTTGCCGTTCGCGTCTCCCGTTCCGTTTTTCGAACGATTCCCGAGAACGGTACAAGGCTCGAACCCCGTTTCGTTAAATCATAAGTATCTTTTATGTTATGCGTTTGTCGGAGATGTTGAACGTGTTTTATGAATATCTATATGTGCCTTATAATAATAATTGTATACATTTTGAGGAATCGAACGAGACTTAATTGTGAGCAGAGGATCTCTTCGATAATAAACCGTTTTGGTTCAATAATAATTGTGAGCAGAGGATCTCTTCGATTTTGAGGAATCGAACGAGACTTAATTAAATCGTGTGATGTGCTGTGGATAATGGAACCATTTTGAATCCTTGGTCTTATGGCGAAAACCTCGGGCGATTTCGTCGTAAATCAATCTTAGATAAATTGTCGAACTTGTTTAGTGGCTGTTTTCGTAATAAAATCATGATAAATTGCTCGCTGGTCCGATTGCCTTGCAATTTTTATTGTAATTGCCTCTGTTGATTATGTAGCTCGTGTAAAAATTTCATAATTTTATGTGGTCTGAAGCTATTTTAATTAAGATGATTTCTGGTCAGATTCATGTTAAATGCATAATAAATTTTGTAGTCCTCCAAATTGGCTGAAATTCAAGTATGTTGTGTCTCTGGAATGTAGGCTTGCTTTGTAAAATTTTCATAATTTTTGAACTCTGTTAGCTTAGGTAAATAAATTATTTTGTGTTTCTGCCAGAAATTGTTTTAATTATGAAACATTGATCTGATGTTGAAAAATTCTGATTTTTGGTTGAGGTGCTTGTTTTGTGTTGTGTTTCATGCTATTTAAATTTTGGAACTTTTAGAGTTCATTTAGGTTCAGTTCTATTGAAAATTCAAAAACAGCTGAATGTTGTAATAATTTTATTAATTCGCATGTTAGGTGTTTAAAGCTGAGATTTTTACACACTGTTATTCTCATACTGAGGTTCGTTTGGTAAAAATTTCACAGGCCGATTCATTCATTTGATCTGGTTGTTAATTTATGCTTATTTTTGCCGTAAACTTGCTCAAATTTTATTAAATAGCATACTTTGAGTTTGGGGCTGAAAATTGGTGGTTTTATTAAGTTCTGGGAGATGAATTTTTGTTTAAAATTTCAGAGCCTAACTCATTTTATAACCTGACCAACATGTTTTTGTGATTAAAGACAAGTATTTTCGAAAATATGATTATTGTGTTAAAAAATGTAAATCGACTCGTCTTCTATTTCTTTATTTGTTTGACTAGGTAAATCGTTAATTGAGATTAAGTGAACTTCTATGCATGCTTGGTTGAGTCTTAGAGCCGAGTCTAAGTGTTCCAACGTCCACAGGACTTCACGAACAACTTAGTCGAATCAAGTTCGGCTAAGTATGATTGTGTTCTCCTTTTTAGGTCAAGATAGATGTTGATTGTAGCATCTTGACTTAATGTAGGTGCTTGACGAGCCGATCTCACCGCCTATACGTGCATCTGTGTTATCTCATTCTCTCGACCAGGTGGGTTTATTTAAAAATTGTCTATGCAATAAATTGTTTGCCTTACTTGTATATGATCAATGTATGATTACGAATTATGTAGCCTTCGATGTGAGCTGTACCGGCCGTCGAACGGTTGTCCCGTATTTATGAAAATAAATCGAGGGGTTACTCCTACTGACTGGGCATCGGTGGAAGCCCGTGGGGCGATTCGGTGTGTAAGATCAGAGGGCATAGATGTAGAGCCCATGGGGCATTCGAAGCATGACCCGAGCGAGGGCCTTCGATACATCTACCGGCAGTAGTCTATTGGTATAGATGTGCACATAAGTCTGAACACTGTAAAAATTTGGGGATGCTTGGTTGATTCTTATACATGTTGTGATCATACTATTTATGTTTATATTATAAAAATGTTTATTACATAGTGGTGAGCACTACGATTTCCAACTGTGCTCATCCCCACCTGAAGTTCACGTTTCAGGTTAAGCAAGACGAGTACGACGGCGGAGTAGAGCGAGTGGTAGTCGGTCTAGGAGACCGGTTATTAATTGATTTTGCTTCCGCTACATTTATGACTATTTATGATTTCTATAATTTCGAACTTGGGAATTTATGAAGTATTGAGATACTATTGGGGAGATGTCCCGTTGACATTGTCATGTCTTAAAACTTGAGATTTATTTTGGGAACCCTGTTTTGGGTGCATTGAGAATTTATGGATTTATGAATCTCGTTTTGGGAGTTGGATGATGTATGTTGTGACAATGATTTGAAATAAATGAGTAACGCCACAAATGTTTGAAATAAATTTTGAAAAATTTATTCTGATTCTTCTGAAAGTCCGGAATTTCTTTAAAATCAAAGTGGGACGTTACATTTCGTCACATGGAACTTCGTCATTTTCTATACAAATTGTGACGAATGTTTGTGTATTATAATGTTTCGTCACATTAAATAATAAAATAGGACGGATTAATCGAAATCGTCATTTTAAATACCTACAATAGTGACGACACTATTTTGTCCCACGGAACTTAGCCATTTTGCGTATAAAATGTTACGACTTTTTATGTATTACAGTATTTCGTCACATTAAATAATAATATCGTGACGAATTAATCGAAAGTGTCATTTTAAATTCCTACAACAGTGACGACTCTTTTTTGTCACATGGAAGTTCGTCATATTTTTGTATAAAATGTTACGATTTTTCATGTATTATAATGTATCGTCACATTAAATAATAAAATAGTGACGATTTAGTCGTAATCGTCATTGTAAATACGTACAACAGTGACGACTTTTTTTTTTGTCACATGGAATTTCATCATAAATTGTATAAATGTGACGAATTTTGTTCTATAGGTAACGTTTGAGAAAAATCGTCATAAAAAGTTAGATTATGTGACGAAAAAACCATTCTAAGATGACGAATGGAACAGTCGTCACCACAGTCAATGATATAATGACGAATTTTAAAAGTCGTCACCGAAAGGCCACATATGGTGACGATTATTTATTCGTCACACGAAATTCGTCACTTTTTCACAGATTTCTTGTAGTGATACCACCAACTCGACTTCCCTCGAAGTAGATTGTCTTCTCGTTGTTCTCGTGTACTGACCCTTAGGTCGATACATCGACTTGTATACTGCCAAGTCTAGTTTCTATCAGGCCATCTAAGGACACTAGCTCAACCTGTCAGCAATCCTCCTTAGTTCCTACGTGCGTCGTCACCATCGACTTGATGCCTCTTCGACTTTTGGTACCTTTGCTCTCCGACGGACCTATTGGCTCACCTTATTCAACTAGTTGACTTCTCAAATCAGGTCGACCCGATATAATATCTCATATATATATATATATATATATAAATGTGGATATGAATTTTTGTATCTATGAAATATAGATATCAATTCAAAAATCTTCAAAAGGTGATTTATTTGTTATATATAATAATTGATAGCTAATAATAAAAACTATTAAGTCTTAAAGTATGTTTATAATTTAAATTGATTAGTATTATAATGTTAAAAATATGGGTATGGTCATATTCCAAATTCCGAAACACTAGAACTTGATATATGGATTACGAAGTATTATTATCACATAAAATTACGAAAAACCATAAATCGATACATATGATAACGAAGCATAAGAAGTTAAACACGTTATAAGAATTTGGCATTTAATAAGAGGAGGGTACTCAATTTTGCAGGACAAGTACAGTATTTCTGGATTAAGTACAGGAGCGTCATGGAGCATGTCGTCAAATAGTGACTCAGTATAATTAAAATCGGTGATTATCTCCACCTTAATTAGCTTGTAGAGAGCTCTAGCTATATATTTGTCTTATCAAAAGAAAATGACACGGTTTCAACTTTCATGTGATGGAGATGACTTCATGTATTGCAATATCCAGTCTAACATACTCCCACAACACATCCCCATCAATTCCTCCTATAACAGCAAAAGTGGAAAATGCATTTGTATTTTAAAGGGAAACACACAACACACACACACACAGTCACATTTTTGAATACATATTGGGGCAATTTCTTATACAATTTGCATTGCTCTGACCCTCAACACTATACATGAAATGTTAGAGAGATGGGAGAGAGTGAAATGACATGGGCTCAAAAAAGCCAAGTTTTGGGAAAATGGGTAATTTGTGATTTGTGAGGCAAAAACAAAAAATAAAACTTTTAGTGTTGGTACACCATTCTATGCAATAAAAACTTGGTTGCCCTCCTTTTTTGCCTAGGCCTTGTCTCCCCCATCTGCATCCAAACAAGCCCTTAAATCCACACGATGTTTTTATGACCTCAACCATTCATCACCCCTACTCTACGTGCACCCACTCACACACACACTCAAGTGTGTCCTTTTAGATTCACAATATACAAAAACCAAAATTTCCCCTACACCCTTGAGAGCTCCTCGCACTTGTCCACCAAAAGGTCCAAAACCATATTNACTTACCGTCAACAGAGAGCTTCTACAATCCAGACGGTGCGGAAGATGACGACGACTGTTCCACTTTGCTGTCTCTCGGTCCCCCGGGCCAAACCACCCACCAAAGGTACAACCCCGGCTTCGGAGAGTACAAGCAGATCAGACAGATCAATCTCCAAAACCCTAACGGCGATAAGACTAACGGTGTGACCGTGGCCCTTCACATCGGCCTTCCCAGCGGTACTTCTTCCTCATCAGAGGCCGTTGATCAGGCCAGAAACCCTAGCGATCTGACGGCGAGCGCGGGTGCAGGTGCAGATCTGGGGCAGTATTGGATCCCCACCCCGGCCCAGATTCTGGTGGGCCCTACTCAGTTCTCTTGTGCCGTTTGCAGCAAGACTTTCAACAGATACAACAACATGCAGGTTCTTCATTTTCTTTTTCCTTTCTTGATTTTTCTTTTTTCCCAAAGTCTTTTCGTTCCAATTTTTTATGTTTTTTGTGCTAGTTATTTCTTATCAAATTGTAGTTTTAAGAATCAATTAAGGATCTTATTAAACTCGAAACTCTTAATTTGCTTTTGTTGGGTCACAAAAATTAAATTGCAGAAACTCAATGTTCTAAGGGTTCCAAACCCCTTTTGCTCAGTCATTGCTGTTTGTCGTTTTTTTCTTATTGTTTATTCCTTCCAATTTTACTTTTTTTTTTATTTACTTGTTTTTTTACTGGTTTTAGATGTAAATGAAATATTAGTGATTATTGTGCATATGTTGGCATGTGTGTTTATCGACTCACATGGGTAAATTTCTTCTATACTAATGTTCCTTTCCCAAGTCCTCTAACTTCCAATTTTATCCCATGGTGCCTTTTTTGGTTGAACAAAAAATAAACAAGTGAAAAAGGCATGATTTGCCTTCTATTTTTGGCAATTCCAATCTTTAATCACAACCAACATTCACCATCTACTACTCCTCTCCTTCCAAGACAAAAAATTCAATGTTCCACCTTCTTCAATTAACATCTTGCATGCTCATAAATCCCTAACCATTCCCACATTGTACTACCCATTGATTATATATTAAAAAAAAAATAATAATAATTATATTTTTGGGCTCTCTCTAGATGCACATGTGGGGCCACGGGTCGGAATACCGTAAAGGTCCGGAGTCCCTGCGTGGCACGAAACCGGCATCCTCCATCCTCCGGATGCCGTGCTACTGTTGCGCAGAAGGGTGCAAGAACAACATAGGGCACCCAAGGTCGAGGCCGCTAAAGGACTTCCGGACATTGCAGACGCACTACAAGCGCAAGCACGGGTCGAAGCCGTTTGGGTGCCGCAAGTGCGGGAAGACATTCGCAGTGCGCGGGGACTGGCGCACGCACGAGAAGAATTGCGGTAAGTTGTGGTTTTGCATTTGTGGGTCAGACTTCAAGCACAAGCGCTCGTTGAAGGATCACGTGAGGGCGTTTGGACAGGGCCACGCGGCCCACAACGAGAATTTGTACGATTCTTCGTCACGTGGAGGTGCAGGTTATTATGATCGCGTGGTGGTTGATTTGGATGTGATGGATGATGAAGAAGAGGATGAATATGATGATGAAGGTTAGGGTTAACACTTAACTCTATGAATATTGTATGTGTGTTAGTATTTTGTTTCTTCTTCTTCTTCATTTTATAAATAACTAATCTATGAATTATTAAATGGAAGAGGAGGCTGTAATGTGGTGTTCATCATCTTGTTCTTTCAAGGCATGTGAACTACTTCTATTAATTACTAGTGTAACTCGGTTTTTTAGTGTGCATGTGTGTTTAATGATGTTAATATTTTTTTTTTTTATAATTTCAATTTTTTTTTTAGAAGGGGGATATAATTTCAATTTTATGCTTCATAGATTGTGTGATGAGTTTGGGATGTTATGTCTTTACATAAAGCATGAAATTTATTTATCAAGGCCTCCGATCGAAACTACAAGGATGAGAATTTCCAAATATGGGGTTGTATGTGTTTGGTAATTGAAAGGCAAAATTGATCAGTTAATCCTACAAAGTTTACCACAATTTGCCAAAAGGTCCTACATGTATACACGCATATCGATCATATAAACAATTTAATCTTGGTTGTGCAAATTTTGTGCTTCAAATCATTTAAAGATCATAAACGAATTAATGTTGGTAAAAAATAAGTAAAATTTAAGTTTATCAAATATATCTAAAATTTCTATATTATAAATTTGAGTGTATCAAAATTTTCTAATAATTCTATGTTATAAATATACTTGAATCAGTATGGGGGACGGTATATCATAACTAAATTAATATATTTAAAATTTTTATAATATAAACAATTGAATTAATATAATTGTAATTTCTATATATATATATAACAAATTGTTACCAAATTAGTATAGATGAAACTCTTCTTGAGATTATTTGCAAATTTTTACCAAATAAAATCGTCTTTTTCAGTAAAATGTATTAAACTTTTGGAAAAGAGCGAAAGTATAGTGTAAAAATACACAATTGTAACTTTTTAAACAAAAAATGGACAAAGCATTGTGGATAATTATGCAACAATTGTAAAGCGCGAAGATAAATATGTGACAATTGTGATATGGATATGAGACAGTTATCCCGTCCATTCGCATAATCCTTAGCATATGTAACATTTATACAATTGATATGCGAAAGCATTATAAATAATTATGTGGAAATTGTGGGATGAGTAAGAGAAAGTTATGTCATCAATTGGCAACGCTTTCGCATATGCAACATTTATACAATTGATACGAGATTTATATACCACGTTTATGTAATTGATATGCAACAATTAAATAGTTGTGACAACTTCCTCGAACTTCATGGTTGTTTCAAGAAATAATTTGTGCAATAAAGAAAGAAAAAAAATAAAATTCTTGTTGTCAAATACAAATTTTAAATAATTAATAATAAAGCAAAAGAATTTTTAATATTATTTAAGATTCTAGAGATTATTTTTATGTATTAATTTTATTTAAGATATATTATTTTTTTGTAAATTAAATAGAATAAATTATTTATTATACGGTTAATATAACGTTCGTAAACGACAGGGGTACATTAAAATAATAATAAAATATTTATATCAACAGGAATAAGAAAAAAAAAATTATACTCTTATAATATAATGATAAAAATGAAGTATAAAACTAATAATTAAAAAAATTAACAAAGTTAATTATTTAAAATAATACCAATACTTATTTATTTTTTAATTTTTTGAATTTTTTTTATTTTTTTTTATTTTAGTTATTTAGGTGTAGTTGTGTACATGGAAAGAAGTATGTGACATCACGCCATGTAAAAAACAACAGAAAATTAAGGAAAGTTAAAATGCAACTGATAGAATTTTGATTTAACCTTATGCAAAAGAAATTGCTTAATCTCGGCCACAGAGCATTCATATCGAATAATCGAGAATCCTAATCGAATAGCGGAAGCATACTTGATGGATTCATATCGATTGATTGCAATGAAATTGAATTAGAATTTGAGATTTGGGATTTCCAGTTCTTCCAAAAGACCGTAAACTGAAGTTTCTCTACTATTCTGACGTACGAAGAAAAATAACTAAATAGAGAGAGTGGGTGGGACGAATGGTTCTTCTTATTTACCTTAATGAACAAAAAGACCCTTTGTATTTCTCAAGGCTTTTGGGGACTTCACCAATAAATAATTTTGTCCCAAATTATTTGTTAATTAGGTCCTTCAGTTTAATGTTATTATTTGTTAGGTTACCAAATAATAATATTGTCGGATGTCCACATTTAATCATTCCACAAGTTAAATTAAGTAATTTAATCAATATTTCTGTATAATAATTTGATCACTTAATTTGGCTAAATAATATAATAACCCAATGTATCAATTACACATATTAAATCCTCAAATAGATCTAACAGCTACATCATTACCTAATCTGTCTATGTCAACATTAATTTTATTCGGACTAGGTGATTAATACTCAGGTCGTTCGGAACTCGTTTTCTAACAACGCCCAACTCACTGTATCGGTTATCAAATTTCGCCTATTGAGACATATTGGGAAGTGTACCACAAGTATATTATTTAATGCTGCGTTTCGTTTTCTATGGATAAACAAGAATGGAAGATCACAAATATTTTAATTAAGGTTGGGAAGTGAGCGTATTGATTAATGTTGGAGTCTCTTTTCAAAAGTTGTATTTGGATTAAAAAAGTCTGTTTCATAATTTAAAATAAACTGAAAAGTGAAAACCGAATTATAGAATAGTAGGGTGAGAGGGACTTCCTTTGGTCAAGTAATTTTGACAGAATTCCTCTGCAGTGTAGTCTCAGAGTCTACTGTTCATTATCTTAAGCATTTTTTCATTAGATTTTTTCACACAGAACTTTTGTTTCTTTCACCAACACAAATGTTAATTTAAAAAACAATTCTCTAATCAGTAAAATTCGATTAAAAGTCGAAAAAATATATTATATTACGTTGTAAAAGTAATTACAAAATTTTATTTTATTTCACAATTTAATACACAATGAACTTTTTATTGAATACTCCATCTTCCATAAATTAAATGATATTATATGTTAAATTGTGTTCCATGTTTTTTTGTCTTCAGGATTCAAGATCTTAAATTGAGCTAGCAATTGAGTACAATAACGAAAAAAAGAAAAAATGGATATACAGAAGAATATATTATGTCACTCCATATAACATATGTTTTTTAGAGCATGATTATTTTTGGACAGATGATAAGCATGTATTATTTTCTTCGTCTTGGATAGAGTAGTGTTGAATTAAATTGAATGATCATTGAATTACAGAAATAAAGCTGGTGGGTTATGAGTGTTGATCATTTTTTTTTTTTTTT